TCTCGGTAAGTATGGCTCTCAAGCTAAGGATCCGTGGGTGATATAGAATAGTTATGTTCCGTGTGAAGCTCCTCCGAAGGGGCGAGGCCGGTCACGGATTTAAAGAGAGGGATTACGATAGGATTTATTTGGGTTCATGGTGGAAGTGACGATGCTCAATAATGCCTTAAAGGCGAAAAAAAGCAAAGAAAACCGTAAAGAACACACAATGTGAAACACTGCTAATTTACCTCCGACAGTGGACGAGCCAGCTGGGTTGTTCTAAGGTTGCTTGCCGTTTTGAACAGATAGTCGCTCTCCTGCCAAAACAATGCTTTGATTTAATACATTCAACAGAAAAGCTATGTGGGACCGCCGCTTTTCAAAATGATAATTGAAGGATGCCGCTGCTGGGGATGGAGGGTGGGGGGGGGGTGGGAGAAGAGTTGAGGGAGTTGAAAACTCACCGGCGGCGCGGACGTGAGCGCGTGCCAGCGACGTCAAAATGTCGTCGCAGCTGCAACAGATTCGAAGAAATGACGAGGAGTGGCTAGCGCCGCTGTCACCACTAATTTTACTTCCATTCAGAATCTCAATGCATTTGTCTACAATTCTGCCTGTATAAGAAGGTAGAAGTCTGCTGATTTTCAAACCACAGTTTTTTCCTTATATGAGTTCCTTTACCCTATGAAAGACATCGTCGCCCACGGTGGGATTCGAGGCTTGCACGGCGGTCCGTCTATTGAAGCAACAGTCCCAGTAGGGTTTTCACCTCTGAAACTAATGGCGTCGAACGATGCGTTTGCCATAGTCAAGAGCATAAGAATGTGTTTGGACAAAAAACTCACCTTGGAAGGCCGCTGGAAAGAGAGCTGAGAGGTTTTGAAGTAGGAGTGGTTGAAAGGGATTGCAGCCACTGAGCAACCACGCACACTTCAAAGCCGCTCGTCTCCCTATCTAGCAGCTTTCCGAGGTGGGTATTTTGCTCAGTAACATTTTTCATGTTCTTGACTAAAGCTAGAGCATCATTTCACGCCATAAGTGTTGAAGGTGAAAATCCTGCTGACTGTTGTTTTGACACATTGATAACAATGCGGGTTTTGGTGTGTTTAGCCATGTGGGACCGAGGCGATTCTGCGACTACATTTGTCGCGGTATGCATATCCCCCGCACAGTTCAAGTAGTTACAGAAGCGGTTGCGAAGGAGCCACTATTTGGACGTTGATATTAAAAGAACTGTGTTCCATATAACTGCTGCAAACATATTTTGAAGGTGGTGTCCACACTTGAAGACCAACTTCATTCACGCTGAGCAATAGAAGTAAGTAATGAGGACTTTTTTCAATATCTTCTGTCCCAGAGTCTCATGCTATCTATATGTGTAAAGAAATGTGAGGCTCCAAAATAGTTTACATAAGACACGAAAATTTCTTACAAAAGATTTGCAAAAGTATTGCAACTGCTTTCAAAAAGTTTGAAAGTCTTTTTGGCGAGCATTCGGCGCTTAGCGCCTTTGTCAAGCCTGAAATACGTAAAATACGATTTTATGGTAAATGTGTTCAGTCAATTATTACTATCAACTGACTAACCTGCTACCAATCACAAATGTCAAAATCTTGCACTGTATGGTTCGTGGAGCGGAAACTGCTCCTTGTTCCAATCTCACCCTTAAATAGCGTTGACGTGCTACGACTGTACTGTAGAGAGATTTCGCTTTTATTACGCAATCTTATCACTGCAGTCATGCGATGAGTTGGAGAGAATAATATAACTTGTCTTTGCTATTTATTATATTTCTAGGGCTGAAGTTTTGATTTCCAACGCTCCAATATTTTTCTTTCCACTCTATTTTCAATGGAACGGTGTAGAACACTGATGGCAGGGTTGGAAGGCTCCCCTATATGTTCTTGGGTTTTATGTTTGGCGAAACTTAGGTCGCAACGAAAGTAATGGCGGATTCGACCCTCGATTTCAAAAGCTCATATTTTTCTTTGAATTGAACTCTATTCCGAATAATAATTCCCACAAGTACCTACTACAGGGCGCCATCGGTCTACAAGGGAACAAGTGCCCCACCTTCAAAATTCGGCAGGTTCCGAGCCGAAGAAGTGCCCATGTCCGCTTTCAACTGTTGACAGTTGTCGTACTTTTTACCCTTTGCGAAGTGAGCCAGGAAAAGGAGCGGGTGGTAATCCGTAGACGCAAGACCTGGCGAATATGGAGGATGGGGTAAAACCGCAGATCCAAGTTCCGCCAATGTGTCCTGGGTTACCCTTCCAGCATGTGGTCGCGCGTTGTCATGAAAGAGGGACTTCGTCCAGCTTCGGGCGACGTTTCGCGAATTCAGCCGCGAGCCTTCGTGGTTGTGAGCAGTACACCTCAGCGTCGACGGTGGTATTGACTGGCATCTCGTAATGATGTGTTCCCCGAACACTTCACCAAACTGACAGAGGAACTTTCTTGGGATGAACCTCCTGCTTTGGAACAGGCTCTGGCTTCTGATTCGCATCCATCCACTGTCTTTCTCTGGCATGACGAACGTAGAGCTCCTCACCTTTCATCTCCAGTAATTACATTATCCAGCCAGTCGAAACGGCAAGTTCTTGCAAGAAAACCTCTGCACACCCCGATACCTCTTTCCTTACAATGCTCTGTCAGCTCATGAGGGATCAATCGACCAAGTTTCTTAACTTTTTCCAGCTTGTGGTGAACACGACCTGTGGCCATGTTGAAGCACTGCATCTCCTTAGCCAGCTCCTTGGCGCTTGCATGCGGAAAGTCTTGAAGTGACAGCTCCAAACTTTCGAAATTGACTTCCGTTGGGCGTCCATCTTCGAGATTGTAGTGTCCTTCGCGGAACCTTCTGAACCAAAGGCAGGTTTTTTTCATTTACCACGCCCTCTAGTTCTACAGAGCATATTTCGCGGCAGGCTTCGCTCGCTGTGGGGCCCAGACAAAATTCGCAAAGAAGTCAGTGGGGTACATGGGTAGAAACGTATGGCATTTTCCAGGCTCCAAAAAGCGTGCAGGAGGTGAGACTCGAGAATATGAAGGAATATCACCACTCCTGTATATGGTTAAAAATTTTCCCCTCCAGGTTAATGCGCAGCCGTTTGTGAGGACATTGAAAAAATGCGCCAGGACTTCCGGATTTCGTGGATTTTGTAGAGCCCTCCGATGTTTGTCCAACCGCTTATGAAGTGGTCTTTTTGTTTCTCCCATGTATTTTTGCCCACATCCATTCTATCAAGTGGATTGTATAGTTCAGTTGAAATATTTTGTCCTCCACACAGTAGCTATAACCATTTCTTCCACATTAGTCTTCGTAAAGGTTTGACCTTTGTCAGGATGAAGTCCAGCAATTCTTCGATTCCTCGCTGTCGATCTGCAAAATTTTGAATCTGTGAACAAAGGCGTCATTGATTAGTTCTGATGAACTCTCTGATGGGGTTGGTCTTCATGAGTGATATCACCACATTCAATCCATATGTACCACTTTGCAGAAATTATACGGCTCTCACTTATTTCATTGTCAAAATCAGAGTTAGAGCTTTTCGCTGCTGCTCTTGTCATTACCAGTAATAGTCTATCAAAGTTCAAAACTTTTGTGCGTTGCCGACTTTCGATATGCCGACTGTAATTTAACAATTGATTCTCTACAGCTAGCATTGAGCATCACTCCATCATCACTTGTTCGTGCTTGGGAAAAATAACGTTCGAAATTGTTTCATTATTCCTACGAAAGCTACGACAACGCTGGAAAATTGTGGTAGCAGCGCTTTTACCGTCGGACTCTTAGTACGACGGCCCTTGCCTACCGCTAGCTGAATGCACTTAACAGCTTCCCCAAGGAGATACAGGAAACAGGTTCTCAAGCTTTTGACGTGCATTTCTGGAAGAAATCATTTCTTCCAATGTGAACGTTTAACTTACGAACACTTTCAGCCTGAATTGTTCACGCGAACAGCTTAGTAACTGAATTTCCCGAGCTTTCGAGCGCTGCTGTAGATGTGCCTGCTGTAGCGCTGGGATACGAAACCGTTTTCCAACCCCAACTTTTTTTTCCAGTAGATCGACTATGGGTTCTGTTTGTCGACAAGTCCTTGCATGTTTTTTCAGATTTTTTTTTCGAATTTATTTCTCTTCCTAACACATTCAACAATTATTAATTATATGGCCATCACTATCGTCAACAACATGCAATGCGTTTCATAAATATACGCGCACCCCAAAATCTTACACAAATAGTTTTGAACAAATTCATATGATAACATAATAGGGCTGATAGGAATTATGGAGCACATAACCTTAATGCAGCAAGCTTTTCATAGCCACAAGAGAGTTTCTTGAGCTCGTATATCATCGATTCTGTTGTCCACCACTTCATAAATAAATATGGACGCACCTCTGAAATCCTATACTTTTGTTATGAAAACGAAGCTATAAAAACTCCTTAGTAACTAACTGTCCTCTGTGCTCCTCTCCATTTAATTTAAATCCGACCAACCAGTCTGCTCGGCAGGCGATTGCCGACTGCCTGACTATCACCATTCTGAGGTCGTTCACGGTGGCAAAAGTTCTTCTCTAATTGCCAGTGTCGCGAAATAGGAGGTTCCAGATGAATTCTATGGGATTGCATAGACAAAACAAGCAGCCCAGTCCATAGCAGTTATATTTCGCTCCCCTAACATGACTTACTGTTAGTCGAACAGCTTACGTGGATTGCTGCGCTCATCTCTGAAAAAAAATTCTCCCTCATTATAGCCTGCCAGAAAAGGTAGTAAATTACGACCCAGCATAATCGTGTAGTTTACCTGGGCGAAGTGAAGGACACCTCAACTGTTCCACCTTGGTGAAACCATGACGTTTCCTCCACTAAAATTACGCCTACTGGAGTATTTCGGCTCCTTGCGTTGATCTCTCCAGTAATATGCATACTCGTTCAAACCGTTCAATTTTAATCTCCTATAGTCGGAAAATATCACCCATTGTTTGCGTTTTACTCCTATTTTTTTTCTTAGCGTTGCTGCTGGTACATGTCAAAAGGACGGAATCCCATGGCTCTGTTCTGCTGCTACAATCGTGAGGTGATCTTGCAAAAGTTGACCAACATTCTATGAAAACTGAAGCTCTCAACAATGCTCGATAGCTGTCCCTCATTTTACTGCAGACGAAATTCAGTACTGGTGGTGGCATAAGCTTCACAAAATGGAGAACGTTTGATCATGGAATCCTATTTGCATCGTAGAGAGCATGGATTCGCTCGAGCTATTTCATTCAGGGATGGCAGTACTTCATATTATAAAACATTCTGCCAGAAAACATTCGCTAGGAGAGCATCGGTTCTCGATGACAACAGAGTGATGGCGTCTACAGCTTTCCTTTCTTAGGCAACGACTGACTGCTGTCTTCTGCCACCATCATCAACTACTTGCTCTGTGCTTTATTTTTTTAGAAGTTCTATACAAATACAGTGATATTTTTGGCTGTTGTCTATGAGAAATCGATGCCACCGGCGTGTCCATGCGGTTTTTACAGGTGCCGTTATCGAAAACTGTAACATGCCTGCTAGATATGAGTGGGTCGACGATATGAGGCAGAAACGCAAAGATAGCAATGTGGGCAGTATGACTCTGGTCGTCTGCAGTGGGACTGTATGCCCGCCTCCTTGTGGCAAAATTCAGTGAGCCTAACGCTCGCGAATCGATATATCCGTCAAGTAGTCAATGCCTGGTCTGCCACAAACCGTTCCACTTCGTCATTTTATTCCTGCAACTAATGATTGGTCCTCATTAATCGGCGGATGGTCTTCATGATTATCTTAGATTTTTGACTTCTGAGATCATTGTGAAGGCCATTTGTCGTGAAAACAATTTTTCTTCACCAAGCTGTATTGCTGTCCTCACCAACTACTCTGAAGTGTTGCGTATTCCAGTACCATTCGGACCTGCACTCGCTGCTGAAATATCCACTGGAACAGTAAGTTAACAAATAAGAAAAACCAGTCGGAACAATATTGTATCTGGTGATGTGACATAAATCATGTTGAGTAGTTGGTGATGTTTTTGAATTTGATGTGCGGTTGTTTTCGCTACAAATACTCAGTACTAAGATACCATACCTGAACTTAACACACTGGAATGAAAGGACACGTGTTCATGTTGTGAATGGATCCTGACAAAACGAAATACACAATAAATTTTTGTGGAATTAGGTCATCTTCTATTCACTAATTCAACTATTATCGCACCTGATAGATCTCGTTTAATTGTCCGAGTCGCACGATGTTGGCGGATCTTCGATTACGAAGGCGATCCTTCTCATATCATTCGCTATTGCGATCACCGTTCGATCGATTGCTTCCGTCCGATTGCAGTGCAAACACTTGCACGCAGCGATCCACAAGCTTACGTCATATGCATGACCGATTACTGCAAATTTTACTTGCTTTGGCACCAAATCACGTCTATTGCTCGCAATATTATTGCATTGCCGTTACAATGGATGCCCTCGTTGAGAAGAATTGCTGCATCTCCCAGCAGTAAGAGTCGGCCTTTCATGTCATTGCGATGTTACAATGGGAAGGAACTTGTGTAATCAGAATCGCACGATTGGGAACCACAAAAACCAAACCAAAACTATTGAAGGCTGAATGGGACGTTCGAGAAGTGGAGAGATCGCTCAACTTAAAATTGTTTTTTAGGAGGTAATGATTTACCATTGCCTGTTCTATTGGAAAGAAGAAGAAAGTTTAGGAAGTATAAGTAAACAGTAAACATACGCAAAAAACTCAGTGTTCACACATGTAAAATCATTGACTCTGACTCGGCTATTACACTACTACACATGCATGCACAGGGAGGACGAAATTTATGGTAACCAAGACATCGCTAAAAACGAGAACATATTAGCTCAATGAAACAAATTGTTTCCAAAAAAGTTTTGGTCCATTAGTATCACAAGGAAAGGCAAGGTTGGGATTGAAATCTGGTAACAATCGCATTAATACAAGCCTGAGCCGAGAGAAGGCATGCACCATGGTGCGCGTCGGTGCGGGAATCGGAATCTTTAAGGTTTAGCTTTGCCCGTGCCTTCAGACTATCCTTGCGGAGAATTCAGGTGAACTTGGTGGGAAGTCATAGGTAACAGTTGTTGGAAGTTTATGGAAAGACAAATCCCTCTTTGCAGGGTTTTTACCTTGTGAAAAGTTCAAAGTAATGCACAGAGTGGGGAAAATAACGGCAATAACATAAATTGGTCATAAAAAAGTAACGTGGCCGAGAACTCCCAAATTATGAAGGCCATCATATTGGTGGAAAGTTTCCAAACAGGAAACAATTGATCTTCGAAGTGGCCATTTGTGCGCTGTTAAGTCAAGACTTGATAGAAAGCAGTCGACCCTTTGTGTGAGTGGGTGTTGCAGAGTGGGCGCGACGCTTTCTGAAGCTACTGCTCACCTAGTTGATGTCCCTTTATGTTTGTAGCCATGCTTTGCTCACGACACTCACGACAAAGCACTCCATTGAACGTGAGAGCTATGTTGCTACTTCTCTAATATGATGAATTCCACGATGTTCTGTTGGCATCAATTCATGGGCAAACTGTGCGCTGTTGGTGGGCCCCCCAGCTTTACTCTGATGCCCTGTGTATCCATTTGTGGGTCCCTTCGCTCCATTGCATCAATCGAGACAGAAAGAGTTCGAGACAGTCTTACTATCCAGTTTTATATCTTGATCAGCAGAGATCCGAAATCTCTTCGAGTCATGATTACTATTCTTATGTTTTCTACGAGAACCATCACTAAACGAGTGGTTGGCTTTTTGCTAGTGTTAGTACGCTCGCCGCTCCTATTCGAGACCGGCCCCAATAGCGGAATATCTTCTCTTCAAGGCGAGCGATCGATATAGATCGACAAGAACTGTCGGTAGACTTAGCATGCCAGAGCAACTTGTGGCTTCAATTCGAGGAAGGCACAAAGTGATGTGGTTGTTTCACCAATTTTATGAACGCTGTGATGTTTTGTTTCTATAGGAAGAGTACTTTACTTTTAATATACAGGGTGTCCCAAAATTACTTGCGCCTATTTGTTGCAATGCCTTTTGAACTGTTAGACACAGAACGATAATTGAAATTAAACATAACTATACTAACATCATCCTCAGCAACATCCAACAACCAGATTTCAAAATGTCCTCCATCTGCACGAATACAAACCCGGAGTCTCTTGTGCATCCTTCACACGTTGTACGAAGGTGTTCCTTATGCAGTTTTTCTCAGCCTTCCTTTGGCGATGCTTGCAATGATTGCAGCTGCAATGAATGCATAACGAGGTCGACATGTCTCGCTCTAATTCAAGGACAAGTCTGAGACTTCAAATGATTGAGATTAGTGGAGCAGGGCTATTTCTCGCGACGATGAAGTGGGGCAGCTCGCAGCTCCCATCTGCTTTGAACGAGCTTGGCCCGTAAGCTGTAGCACTGTTCAGCTGGGAACACCGCTGCTTGCTACCGATGTGAGGGTCGGATCAAGGCTTCAACTTGCTGATCTTCCAACATAAATCGGCGAAAACCAACGGCGTCTCGCCGTGAGCGGCGAATCGCCCACAAATTATTACTGATGACGGGTTAGCCGTTCTTGCAACAATCTTTCCTCGTGAGATTACACTCCCGATATTTCTAGCTAGAATGGGATCATTTTGGCGACTCCAGAGCGGCTCCACAGTGAATATTTTCTCGCTTGAAAGAAACGATCGAGGGTTGCCTATAGCCAGTAAAGCGCGCTAATAACCGTCCAACTTTTTCACCTCTTTGCCTTTTTTTGCTCTTCGAAATGAAACGACACTCTGCATGTGATAGGATCGGCAGTGCTGCTGCCCCTTGACGATGCGCCCCGTTGATGACTTTGATCATTCAGCGGCTTGGCCATGGCTTTGATGGAGCACCTTTGATTGCTATCCAAACATTTTGATCATTCTATCCGTGGAAACGCTGACCATCCTTCCTTGTCCAGACTTACTAATGAGTGTTCCTAGTTCCCTGCATCGTTTGATGACCATCTCTACAGTCTTGACAGGAGCCGCAAGAAATCTAGTGATGTCCTTCAATGTAGCCTCTTCCTCGCGCATGCGAATGATGCAGGTCACAGTGGTTCACCTCTTGCCATGCCATTTCAAAGGTACTGACAGTCTCACCCTAATAAGGATGCGGTACACAAGAGAGCCTACCCGTACAACTACTTAGTAGCGTGCGAAATGAAGATAATCGACATACCTTTTCTAATGAAGTTTTGAAATTTGGCGCAAGTAATTTGGGGACACATGAAGCTACACATGAACGTTTTCCCCTTGGCACACACCAGCAAATTATTCGTCGCAAAGAGTGCCGCCATTGATGGAAACTCTACTGCAAAATATTTCTCAGATGTCCTCCATGAATAGAAGCGGGTTCTTCTTCACGGCATACATATTTATGCGCCGTCATATGTCATCGCCACAATACTCAAGGAGACCCACCGTATCTGTTCCATTCTGAAGTTTATACGCAATTTCTCAAATCGATTCACTGTTGGATAGTTCCCTAAAGACGTTAGCTCTGGCTATGCAAATCCACTCTTGACCACCATTACAGAAAACGTCGCAATGGTCCACGATCAGTCGAGGGCTACGTTGAGCTCGACGTGTACCCCACGTTTCTGGCAGAATCTAATGCAGTCCGCGTAGGAAACCACTGAAGATTTTTTTATAGTGTGGACAATGCGCTTCAATTTTGAGTTGGGAACATGGTCTTTCAAACGAGCAAAGCACAGCTAATTCCTTTTGATGTGCAGACAAAATGTCTTCTTGCTCCTCCCTACCCCTGCAGATGTGTGACACAGCGAATGGATCTGTTGTATCGGGACTCGCTTGGAATGCCGAATGTGCCCCTAAATAAGCTCCTGAACACGTTGACGACATTGTGACGCCGTAGCGCATCCCACCCAAGTCATTCTTGCGCTTGTGCGACTTATTCCTAAGGTCTTTGTACTAATTCTATAGGCCATACATTAGCATACTGAAAGCCCAAATGGCTCACAGAAAGACCAAATATTCT